ATACCAAGCAATTCACTAACTGCAAAGTAGCATGAACCCTACTCTGAACAAAAGCCCTGTGGGGAACTCTGGGCCACTCTCCTTAGAAAGCAGCTGAGGGAACTTGCATCTTGGGGTCCTCCTCATAATTCGAGTAGCTAATCAAAGTTTTTCTTTCAACTACATGCCCTTCAGAGTATGGGGTGATCTAGTAGGTGATGTTTTAGCAGGCTCTGGAAATCACCCATTATCTCAACTGCTTCAATGGACATTGCACTGGCATTCATTAAACACTAGTTTATTTGAATATTTATATTTTCTGCCTCATAGGTTATATTGATTTAGCTCAAATGATCTGGAAAATGAGCATGATGTATGTTTCTAAACTAACATTTTGAACTGAAAAGCTATCTTAAAGATTCTATACCAAATGAAGAATTTAATCAAATGAAATAACGAAAATAATGCAATAATAGTTCTGAATTATAGCAATTACTTCATAAATAATGAATGTCTTGTGAAAAAAATTTTACATTTTGAAATTTTTGTAAATATGTTTACGTCTGCTAAATTAGCCTATGAATTAATTTTAATATGATGTCTACAGGACATAACACGATGCCATTAAAATTACAACTATGTAAGATTATGTAGGTATGTGAATATGGAATAGAAAGACACATTGTAAACTGATAGATGAGGAGGTAGAATGTGGGTAACTAACATCTAAGTTTTTAGTTTTGAGTGATTATCATTGTTATCCATAAAATATTTTAAAAATAAATACAAAGGGCTATGGCCACAAGGTTGTTATAAAGGAAACCTAATCTAGGAGCGACAAGAAAACGGCTAACTTGTTTTACTTCATATTTCAACAATCTCATTTAGTCAATACCACTATCTTTACGAAGCTTTTCCTAATCCTTCTAATTTTATGTCATCATTCCACGTCCTTCCAATTAATCAAGAAGTAGAAACTGTCTATTTCATGCATTCAAGTAATGCCCAACTTTACTTCTGAGCTTTCACATCACAGGTCATTTTGCTGAACGTAGTCCTAAATTTAAAATCTACCCCTATGTAGATCTAGCCTTCTCTCATCATATGTGATCTGATTATTTCCTTTTTGAAATTAACTTATTCATTTGTCATTTTAATTCTAAAACTGGTACTTTCACTTATACCAGTTTCACCATTTTATGATTTTTTTTTTCATGTTAAGTTTTTTAGAATGAAGCTCAGATGTTCAAACAGAATTACCATCTCCAGAGGGAAACAATGTTTTCTTTTTGCTTATAGCACTGGAAAAATCCGCCAAAACTCATTAACCTGTAATTTTATAATGAATTTTTCATTTACAAATTTCAAAAATGTGGATTTTAAATCTGATCATTTGCACATGGGGAATGTGTACTGTTTCTAATTTTCATTGCATAAAATTAATAAGAAATACAGCAGAAAAAGATGTTTTGATTTTTGCCTCTGAACATAACTACATAAGAGATCTCTAATGTTTTATCAGACCAAGAAAAGACAATGAAAAATGCTAAATTAACCAAATGTTAACATTAGAAATAATTACAAATGTTTCTTTGCGGAACGAAATAAATTCTTCATTTCTGACAATTCATAGATATTCTTCAAAAAATATTTACCTGCATCACAAGCAAATAAAAGTATTACTTGACAGGATATAAACTTTTTTCACATATTAGTTACAAATATCATTGTGGAACTGAATGATCCTTTTTAAGAATGAACCTGATTTGTTTTATTAAATTAGATTACTAAATTAGATTTATTAAATCAGCAAACAAAAATCAATACCTTCACAAATATGTCATATTAGACACAAACAAAATAGGCATAAATTAATCAGTCTTAATGGGTTTTAAAATTTATTCTCTGATATTTTACTATATTCAAAGTACATTTTAACCCAAAAGGTAGGCACGCCTTTCATGATTCAAATGAGGAAGATGAGCTAATGAGATGAGGTGACCCAAATTCTTGCAGTCATAATGTAAAACAGACATTAATTCAATCATAGTAGGCCACCAACTTCCTATTAATTAGATTTATTACAGCAGCAAATAAGCCATCAGCATAGTAAGTTTCACTGATTTAAGTTCTTTAGAGAGATGCACATTTTAAAGAAAAAGATATTTTCAATAAAGAGAAAGATTTTGAAAATGACTCAATAGAAAATTTAGAACTCAAAAATACATGAATATAAGCCATATCTAAAACACCAACATAGTAAATACATGTAAATAAACAGAATTTATTTATAAATTTATTAGTGAAATAAAACTGGTTAAAATGCATGTCTGCTGAGAAAGGCCAACAAGTTTTCAAACAAATGATAAATTTTATTCAGAGCCAAATAAGAAAAGTCACTGTCAGCAGAAAATCTGCTGATGAACAGCTATGTATGGCATTAACTGGAACGAAGCTTACATTTTCTGCTATTTCAAAATGATGTCGGAAAGATAAAAAGACTGCTAAAGCACGGTTCTACCTCAACATACATATTAAATATATTTCCACCTAGATTGGCTGAGGAAAAAAAACATTACCAAAGAGCATTTTTTCAGTTTAGTTTTTATTCTGCAAATTGCAGAATATTTGGAAAAGTATAAAGAGAAATTACCTACAATTCCCCACCAAAAGACAACACCTGTTAACATTTTATTATTTCCTTCCAGTCTTCTTACTAAGACTTCTTATAGAGTAAAAACTCTGCCCTGTAACTTAATATTACATGTGGACATTCTGATTATTAAAAATTCTATAGGTGTTTTAAAGCACTGCTTCTCATTTTGAAGTGAAACTTCTTTTCAGGTGATGTGAGGGAATACAAGTAGACCCTAAAACACATCTGTTATGCTAGTAAGACTCTGGTTTAAAAGGAATTCCACAATTGGTCCTTTGGTTAAGATATATAATTTTTAAAAATTAGAGAATTCAAATCCTACATAATTCCTGAGTTTTCTGATGATATATGCCTCACTAGCCCTTAATTTATCAAATCACTAAGCTCAAGATTAATAATGATAATCATTTATAGCTTTATTATGCTTTTCCCTTTGCAAAACTGCATATTATCACTTCATTTTCATTAAGCTATGAGATAGGTATGCATTCTCATAACAATGATGTAGAAAACTGTGGTACAAAGAGATTAAGTGATTTAACAAAATTTACCCAATTTAGAAGACAAGAACTAGAAATCAAGTCTTAATTATCAGCATCATCTCTATTTGTGTTAATCTACATTAATTTTTATATAAGATGATGCTGTGAAAGAGAAACATTTGTTAAAATGCTCTGGTAAAAAATGCTATTAAACCTTAAAAAATGAGGTAATGTTGCATGTCTGATTAGACAGGCCTTGAGAAATTCTAAAAACAAGGTAATCATCTCATGGAGTTAGGGGGAGACATGTAACTGATTCGATACTGTTCCAAAAATTTTTAAAAACATCATACACTTTCAGATATAAAAATAAGCAAAAGTAGTACTATTCCTTTCTATATCAAGGCAGCTCATATTGTTCACATCTCAGATTCCTTATGCCTGAAATGGGATAACAGTATCTCAGTTAGTTGTGGTGGGAATTAAATGAGTTAATATACATAAACCATTTAGTTCTGTGCCTGCCACAAAGTAATTCCTAGTAAGTGTTAGTCATATATAAGCCTGTTTTTTTTTTTTTCCTTTACCAGAAGGAAAATACATGAACAGGCTCTGAAACTCCAACGGAGAAAAGGATTTCACATTCTAATGTACTAAGTGCTGATGTTCAATAATTCACTTAAGATGATCTAACTAATCTAACCAAAACCTAAATACTAAGCATCTAAATTTTAAGCTATATGTATAGAAATGTGTCTAGCTCTAAAGAAGACAGTTTACCAAATACATTTTTTTCCTTACAGTTACAGAGATTACGTTTCCACATGCCTGTAAAAGTTTCAGCATCTTTTTAATGGATAGGCTTATGGCCATGATTCCATACTTTACCAAAAATCATATGACATCAATATTAAGCTGACTTTAAGTTAGAGATGGGAAGGAAAAAAAAAAAAAAAGAAAGAAAGAAGCAAACAAACAAAAAAAATCTCTTCCCAGCAATTAGTAACAATACAATCCTCACCCTTCTCACTGCAATAAAATGGGAAATGCAATGGAAAAATGTGTTCAATAACGTCAAACTGATTTCAAAAATTGTGGTATGATGCCGGAAAATAGTACTAAAGGGGTGGGGGTGGGGGGGCGGGAATCAGCCCTGCATTCTCTTTCCATTATGATGATTATTCAATAAACAGTTTTGTTCATTTCTGGAATAGGGTTTTTAAGGATTGTAGATGGGAAAAAAGTCTTGTCACTTTTCTGGAAAGGCTTACCCTTTAATGCGGAACGCTCCATGTGGGCAACATAGCACTTTGCCTTGAGTCCGACCCACTGTTTGACTCAGGCAATCTAGACCACCATCCTCAATAACAGGTAGGGGTTGTTAACAACATAGTCTGAATCCAAGGCTCCGAGATAACCAGAATCTATTCTATTTGCTTTCGAACTTGAGCACTTTACAAACGATGATAAGATCGTTACTTGCCTTTAACAGTTTTAAGATGCTATTTAATTTCCTTGCCTTCCTACTCTGTTCATCTATCCATCCATGTAGCTTAACTTGGGAGGTCACATCTCCCAAAGTTCCCTTTTGATTTTCGAAAATTTAGAGGCTTTCATAGCAGGATCTCACGTCCCCCTTTTCAGAGAAATGAATGGCCTCTCCAAAAAGTAAAGCCCCGCCACCTGGGGGGCCAGGCAGAGGCCACCTTTGCAACTCAACCCTGCCACTGCCCCGCCAGGTCCGACCATGCACGAAAGCTCACTGAACCTCCTCCGTGCGTCTGCAGATTCGTTCAATGGCCGAGCGGCCCGGGCCAAGGCTCTCCCCACGCCCTTGCCGTTCGAGGGGCTCCGCGGCCGCGCATTCGCTGGGGTCCACTCACCTTGCTGTGCTCCGGAGTTCTCGAGCAGCAGGAGCAGGATAAGTAAGAGCAGGAGGAGCAGAGGCATGGAGGAGGAGGAGTTGGAGCGGGGAGGGAGGGAGCAGGAGCAGCAGACGGGGAGCGCGGCCCGGGCGGGGGCGGCGGCCGCGGCCCGGACTCGGGGACACAGCTGGCGGCGCCCGGCTCTCACCACC